CAGCATCCTCTTACCCTCTCGACCCTGGTTGATTTGTCGCGCCGGCCGCGACAATTGTACCTTCCTCTGAAGATTAGGTTTTGTTATGGCAGGAAGTTATAGTATTAATAGATGACCTTGAGTCTATAAAGGCTGTTTTAGCCTCTAAAAGCATAGATATATTCCATTTTTGCCCTGACTTCTAAGATGCAGTCCTTACTGGTAGTTCGTGGTACTGAGTCTCAAGGTGTGACATTTCTAGGGACATTAATTGAAACCCATTATATATGCATGTATTTTACCAGGCTCATTCCTCTCCAGAGGAGTCCAAAAACCAACCTCCAACTCCTGGCATGTGTGATCTCTGAAATCTCTGCACAACCTTCAGCTTTCAATAGCTACTCTCTTCGAAGCCTCCTAGTGTCTTCCCCTGCACATGCCTAGCTTAGGTATTATTTAAGGACCTATGGGAAATTTTTAAGCAGATTTTTGGGGCTTCTTCTTGGTCAGTCTTTATTTTCCATTAGGAAAAACTCAAGGTATTTCAGGATGAGGTTCTATGTTCCCTATAACAGCCCCCATTTCTCCAAAAAGCCCTGGTTCTTCTTCTTCTTCAAGAATAGTATTTTAGAAACCTAGATCTGGGTAGGCAGTAAGTGTTCTCATTCCTACTGGACTGCCATTGCTACTGGGCCTTCTGAACTGAGAGGTCTTGGAATATAAGAATGTGTCCTAGCCTATGCACGTGCGCACGCACATGCGCGCGCGCGCGCACACACACACACACACACACACACTATCCATCCATCAAAAAGCATGAATTCATACTATCTACTTCCAACTCCAATCCAATCCAACACCACAGTGTTTTAGTCTTCTCTCTCTTCTTGTTTGTAAAATTTCTCTTGGACAGTGAGAAGCTTTCATGAGCTACATGTTTACTTGTTCAACCCTAGTATACACATAAAAGTTTTGCAATCACTAATTCACAACATTGTAAGAAACAAATTTTTGAACTGAAGTGAAGGATTTCTGGACTATTCTTTTTGTAGTCAGTCTTACATATCTGGTCAAAATACAGCTTTCCAAAGTAAATTTGGTTTCCTTCCTTGTGGTTATGTTATTCATTACAGTTTAGTCTATTTTGCATTCCCTCTGCTACCTGGCAGATTATTATTTTTTTTTTAACTTACAGTAATATCCACTCTTCATGGTGTACATTTCTGTAGGTTTTGCCAAGTGCATAGAGTTGTGTATCAATCAACAGTCACAAGAGAACAATTCCGTCACTCCCAAATTCCTTTGCGCTGCCCCTTTGCAACCATCCCCTTTTCTTACTCCTTGCCCCTGAACATCATTGATTTGTTGTCCTTCCCTAGAGTTTTGTCTTTTCTCAAATGCCATACAATGGAATCATGGAATAAATGGTTTTTCATATTTGGCTGCTTTCCCTTAGCAAAATAAATCAAACTGAGGTATAAGTTACATGCAATGCAATATACATATCTTGAGTGTATAATGTGTTGTGACAAATGCATACACTTAGGTAACCTATACTTCTTTTGAGAGGCAGAATATTCTCTTCACCCCATAAAGTTCCCTCATGTCACATTTCAGTCAATCCCTGCTCCTTATCCCTCACCTCCACAACCTGAGTTTAGATGCAACCAATACTCTGATTTTTTTCCTATCAGTTTTTTTTTTTTGCTGTTCTTAAAATTAATACAAATAGATTCATATAATATTTACTCTTTGTGTGGCTTATCTTGCTCAGTATATTCCTACAGCAAATTTTAATTAACTTATAATAGAAAATAAAATGTTTCCTATACACCAGAAGTCTCATAAATGCCATATATATGTTAACTAACTGAATCCTTAATACAAATCTACAAAGTAGGCATTTCATTGTTTCTATTTTACAGATGAAGAAATAAAACTTTAGGACAAAAAGTCTGTCATTTATTTGAGGTAACCATGTCTAAAGGAGAGAAACAAGATTGGGCAGAATAAGAGACTGAACTCTAGTAAAGTTAAAAACAGAGGTAACATTTGATCCCCTGGGAAGTTCTAGAGCTGGGGTAGCCCTTCAGGGGTGTCACAAATTGAGGCAAAGGAAATGGGCATTTGTATGCCTCGTATGAACTAGTCATTGGAATTGGGTTGCCCCTTGAGGGTGGACATAAACGTAGGTGTGGCGCTTTCCTTTGGCCCAAGAGAATTCCAAACAGAATGGCAGGACAAGCCGTTAGAACGCTTCCAGCAGCTGGAGGAATGAGTAACTTAGTCCTGAAAGAATCTGAGAAATATATCACTGTCACCATTATGGCCCAACACTTACGCCACTTGGATACACTAGCTTCTTAAAAGTAAATGCACACAAGATTCTGGTTGGTCATCTTAGTTTCTGCATCTCGGATGCAAACTTTCAAGATGAAGCACAGTAGAACAAATTATAGACAGCTCTCAAAAGCAGCTTTTCATGGTGTTGCAACTGATACTTTGTTGTTTTTTTTAACGATTTGAGAGAGAAAGAGGGAGAGAGAGCCAGTACAAGTTGGAGGAGATGCAGGGGGTAAGGCAAGAGACAAACCGACTCCATGCTGAGGGCAGAGCCCAGCGTGGGGGCTTGATATCACCACCCTGAGATCATGACCTGAGCTGAAACCAAGAGTTAGGCAGGTCCTCAACCAACTGAGCCACCCAGGCACCTTGCAACTGATACTTAATCACCACACTTCTACTATCCCATCCTAGATTCCCTACACCCTTGACTACAACCTCTGCTGGACAAGGAGGCTTACTTGGAAGGATGATCCAGATCCTCACCTCTGAGGATTTTGAACACCTGGTCAACATGCCCTTTTCAGGATATAGCTGCTACATTTATCAACAAAATTGGGGAGAGAGACATCCCAAAGGATTACCTGAGTGCCAAATGTCTTCTCTGCCCTCACTGTAGAACAGAAACCCCACATCCTCTGGCACAGGACCACCTGTGCAGAAGCTAGGGTGAATTTTTTCCTCAGGTGCTGGTCTCATAGCAATCACAAGGCTCAATGGGACCCTTACTTTGCTGGGAAAAGTGTTCCCTCTCTGGAAACTAGGGCTTTTAGGTGATTTTTGTGCTTTCCTTCCAAGAGCCCACAACCCATCTTATATGAACACTTGTGAAGGCGACTGTTCTAGACGATAGGTGGGAGCATCAGTGCTTTGACAATGTCCAAGACAGTATGGTAGCTGACAGAATTCAGAGATAAGAACTTTCTGCCCAGATGACTGACAAAAGTAGACTGAGAAGCAGAAGGGGTGAACAGTTCTGGATAGCTTCCATTTGCCCCAATGGACCCACTTTCTCTACCTTGCTCAACCTAGTAACGTTAATCAATATGAGCTGCATCAATGGGCTTCCTCGCCTTAGGTCTCTGGCTGGGTTTGGTCAATGGGGAGCCTGGGCATGAAATCAGAAGGATGAAAGAAGGTGAAGTCACACAAGATCATGACTCACCTTCTCAACTCATTAGGGTCTCTGCTCAAGCGTCCTTTAACTAAGAGGTTTTCCCTTTCTATGCCTATACAATGGAAAGATCCCAATCCCCTTTAACTATTTTATAATGCTTTGTTTTTCTGCTCAACACTCAAAATAGCACGTTTTGATTTTTTCATAATCTGTCTTTCCCCCATTAGAATGTAAGTGCTTCAATAGCAAAACTTGAGTTTCACATATTGCTATGAACACCAGTGTCTTAAACAGTACCTGACATATACATTATACTCAATAGATAGACTAGTGGTTAAGAACATGGACTGTCTGGGTTCAAATCCAGGCTCTACCATTTACTAGCCAGGGAGCTCAGGCAAGTAACAGGCAAACTACCATGTTAGTTTTCTCTACTGTAAAATGAGGACAGTAACAGTACATATTTCCTTAAGCTTACATTGAGTACTCAGTAATATCCTCAGAAGAGTGCCTCATCTATAGGAAGGGCTATGTAAGTGTTCAGTCATTTATTAATGTACTGAAATAATCCAGTATAAAAAAATGATCCCAACATAAGGAACAATTCACAAGAAAAAACCTAATCCTGAATGTGCTTGTACATCAAAATACATTAAAAAAAATGACAGAAATGACAAAAAAGTGTTAATCCATACCCACAGCACAAGACTTTAATACATATCTATCACTAAATAAATTTGAGGACAGAAATCTCAAAGTACATACTATATCTGAAAACACAATTAGCTTGAGTTTATGGGTACATACTCTACACCTAAAACTTAAGAGAATAAACATTATTTTCAAAGAAACATGAAACACTAATAAAATGTGACCAACTAATAGGCTTACCAGTTAGATATTGCATTTAGCTGGACAGGAACAGAACATCACTTCAAAAACAAACTAAAAAAAGGACTTTGGCTTCAACCAGTTAGAGGTTACTTTTAATCATATAAGGACAAGTCTGGGAACAAGCAGTCCAGAGCAGATACTGCCAATCAGAAGTTCTGGAGATGCCCATATCATTGTAATTTTGTGCTGCACTGTGGTTTTTGTAATTATGATAAAAATATAGCTCTTCCAACTCTTGGCCTTGAGTCCATTTCCAAGAGAAAGAACGGGCAAGATGAACAGGATATAGATGAGGCAAACAAGCCAAATGATGTTCTCCCCAGTGACTTCTACCTACTTCTATATGGTCAGGAGAGTAAGGCAATACCCCTCTGGGCTTCAAAGAAGCCTTATAGATTATTTTCAATCCTGCTCATTGATAACTTGAACAACAATAAAAACATTTTTTAAAGTAAATAAGCAGGGGACAATGGACATTGGGAAAGAAGCTAAACAAAATGCCATACTAGGGTAAAAAGGTAAAAAAAGAATCAGCATCATCAACTCCACTTACTTACTTGACAATAATGCCTTTAAACTATGAAAAGTACACAGTAAATATAGTTTAATTTCCACTACGAGAAAAGAATTTACTCAGGAGATACCCAGAAATGCCTTTCTGGATATGCTCTGTACTAATATTTTTAAAGAGTAAATTATAGCAAACATATTACATACAAAACTATGGGACATAACTTAAGGTTTATTTTAGGGTACAGCTATAGATATATGTTTATACTAAAACAAAAGACTAAAAACTAATGAATTAGTGGCCCAGTCTTAGGATGAGACACTGATAGAGGCAATCCCATACTCACTATTCTTTCCATTCCCAGTTGATTTTGTGGCCCCTCAGTAAAGAGCTGAGGCATCCTCCTACTGATTACTTTTCTAGGGTTTGCCTCCAATGTAGGTTCTCACAAATCAACAAAGAATCACTAAAAGATTTTTCAAAATTAATACACTCACAACTTCTGCATCCAGAGAAAACTTGGTATTTTTCCTAATGTAGGAGGTATTAGTCAAGGCATTCCCTTGGTCTTTATATGCACAAGTGTCTGCAGGGAATTCTGAGCTTCCTAAGGAATGTGGAAAAATGACTTTGCAGGACTGATGACATTCAACAGGACTCTCTCTCCGGGATAAATCCTCATGCTTCTTAGAAACTGAGAGGACATTCAAGGCTTTCCCACAGTAACTGTGTTCAGAATCTCTCCCCATCTTTTGCTCGGTAATGCGAACACTTGTGCTGAAGGGTTTTCCACATTCTTTCTATGAATATTCCTCAGTAGTGATTTCTCACATGTGCTCTCAGTGATGGGAGTCCATGAAGGTTTCTGCATTCTGATGATATTCGTAAGGTTTTCTCCTTAGTCTGAACTGTTGCATGACTCCCTAGAAATAGCACGAAGGCTTTCCTACAGCTACGGTCTTCTTCAGGTTTCTCCCCGCAAGTAATCTTTTGTGGACGTTGGGGTGAGTCTGAGTTGCAAGCTTACCACAAAGATTGCACGCATGACGTTTCTCTCCAGAGTGAATTAACATGACTTATTAAAGGCTACTTCATATAGACTAGGTTAAAAGCACGAGAATCCGCTAAAGGCTTTTCCTCACTGATTTCATGGCAAGCTTCTCAGATGGTTCCTTATGATCTGTCTGCTACTATACATAACCTGTGTAGTTTCTTCCCACACTGTGTGAGCAATACAGTCTGGAAGAAGTGATAACAGATTCTTCGGAGGCTAGGTCGAAAAAGACAATGTGGCTTCTGCATTAGCACTCCCATAGATCAAATGCTTTGGGAGGAACCTGCTGCTGCATCATGAAGATACTTATAGCCCTGTGGAGAGTGAGGTAATGAAGGTTCCCTGCCAACAACTGGCATTAATGTGCCAGACATGTGAGCTAGCCATTTTGGAAGAAGATTCTTCAGCAGTAAAGACTCAGATGAGCATTGCTCCAGCTCACATCTTGGCCTCACCTCATGATAGATCCTGAGCCAGAACTACATAGCTAAGCCGTTTCCAAATCCCTGACCTACAGAAACTGAGATAATTAACGTACGTTGTCTGAAGCCACTGTGCTTCGGAGGGAAATTTGTTACGCAGCAACAGCTAACTCATACATCTAGTGAGTTCCCATCAGTTGTCTGAGAATTAAGAAATCAATGAATGCTTTCCTAGTTATTGTATTCATATCCACCTATTATGTATTCTCTTGTGCACGGAAAGGTAAGAGTTAGTGGTGAAAGATTTTCCACAATGATTACATTCGTAGGGTTTTTCTCCAGTGTGAGTTCTCACGTGTTTCTTAACAGCTGAGAGATTATTAAATGCTTTCCCACAGTTACTGCATTCATAGGGTTTCTCCCCAGTATGGATTCTCTTGTGCACAGTAAGAGAAAAGCTACTGCTGAAGGATTTTCCACACTGATTACACTCATAGGGTTTTTCTCCAGTATGAGTTCTCATATGCTGTGTCAGATATGAGCTCTTCCTAAAGGTCTTCCCACAATCGTGGCACTCATAAGGTTTCTCCCCTGTATGAATACTATTGTGTCCAGTAAGGGAGGACCTTGTGCTGAAGGCCTTGCCACACTGATTACATTCATGGTGATTCTCTCTTGTATGAATTCTCTTGTGGCTTTTGAGGTTGCAACTAGTGCGAAAAACATGAAAACACTGATTACATTCATAGGGTTTTTCTCCAGTGTGAATTCTCACGTGCAGTCTAAGGGAAGAGGGATCATTGAAGGCTTTCCCACAGTCATTGCATTCATAGGGTTTCTCTCCATTATGTATTCTCTTATGAATAGTAAGGTAAGATCTACTGCTGAAGGATTTGCCACACTGATTACAGTCATAGGGTTTTTCTCCAGTATGAATTCTCTTGTGCTGAGTGAGGTTAGATTTTGTGCTGAAGACTTTAAAGCACTGGTTACATTCGTTGAGTTTCACTCCAAGGTGATTTCTTTCCTGTTAATTGAGAGATGAATCATAACTGTAATTTATAGTATTTTTAATGTTCAATGAATTTTTATGCATATGAACTCTCTTTCCCAGGAATTCTGATATATTATTACAATTGATGTTTTGGCTATTTTTCATGCTTATATATGGCTTCTGCCTGGTCTGAGCTTTTAAAAATTACAAAAGATGGATGCTTTGCCACAATTCCTTATCATTATTCACAGAGCATCTTCTGATAAACTCTGATAAACCACTTTGTATTTCTTTTTTCTTTTTTAAAGATTTTATTTATTTATTTGACAGGCAGAGATCACAAGCAGGCAGAGAGACAGGCAAATAGAGAGAGAGGTGGAAGCAGGCTCCCTGCTGAGTAGAGAGCCCGATGCGGGGCTCGATCCCAGGACCCTGGGATCATGACCTGAGCCGAAGGCAGAGACTTTAACCCACTGAGCCACCCAGGCGCCTGAACCACTTTGTATTTCAACAGCCAATATTCTGGTCACATTTAAGAAAATATTTACTTGTAGAAACTCCCAGTGAAGAAACAAGTTTGGAGCTAACTTACAGTTTTCCCCAAATTCACAGCTTTTCACAGAAATCTCTCCCGAGACACAATTTCCCATGATGTAAATGACTTTCTTTTAATGACTCTGTTTACTTTGCGACTTTTCTAACTTACTCTCCTACTGTGCAAAAAAAAAAAAAACAACCCAGAAATCAGCCATATTAGTCTTACCGCTTTTATACCACTGGAATGTTCTTTTCTAAAATCATGTTTCTTGGGAGTTAACCATTTGGCTTTAAGTACTGTGTCCAAATCTGGGGGAAAAAAAATGAAAAGAAATTTAAGTTGATGGAGAAAAGAAATAGTAAAGTGCACATATGAGTAAATGCAGACTCTGAGGGATCAGCATTTTGCCATGAAAGGGCAAGGAGTATGAAAATTGTAGGTATTCAAAAAATGATTCTAAAAGGACTAAGACTGATCAGAGATTTAAGAAGAAGGGATTATCAGGAATGCAAAGTAGAAGGCATTGAAGAAAGTGCTCATATGCGATTTATTTAAAAAGGAAAAGGACTATTATAGCATTGTATGGTGACAGATGGTAGCTATACCTGTGGTAAGCATAGTACATCTTAAGAAACTTGTCAAATCATGACACTGTACATCTGAAACTAATGTAACATTGTATGTAATTACACTTTAATTAAAAAAAAAAATGAAAATGTGTCTTTTTTCCCCCCTCCGACTCCAAGGTAATAATGTATGGGATACTTAACAAAAGGCAAAAAGGAAAGAAAGAATGTATACAAGGAAGCTCATACCAAATGTTCTTGACCATCTTTGTCAGAGAAAAAGACATTGTATAAACTTCCCTGTTTGACATTTCCTAAATGTAATACTCCCATGCCCCAAATCACCGACCAGAGCTATTCCTCAAAATGACTCGTCTCCACCCTTCCACCTGATGCTCACCTGGACAGGAGCCTGGGAGGATTCCCCGCTCCTCCGTCACCACCTTGTCTTCTTGTTCCAACTGGGAGATCAGACTGGGTTTATCAACGTGATACCCTATTCACAGAGAAAAGACAGAAGATGTTGGGTGACTGTACAGGTGACAAGCAACCTCATGAAACTGGAGCCGACAATTCTGAAGATGATCAAGTATGGCTTTTGCAGCAGTGGAATAACTACACATAAATTGTAATGAATATAGTTACTCCCAAGAAACAAAAATTCAAGCACACCCAATACCCAAGTGACAGGACATACACTGTCCCAAAGTCCATGTCCAAGTTTACATACATACTTTAGAAGCTCTAAAGCTTTTAACCATGGAGAATGTAAAGTCAGGGTAAGGAACAGCTATTCAGTTCACAGGGAAGGCATCAGACAGAAAGTTCCATGAGGGTGGGGACCACATCTGTCTCATTCATCACTGTATTCCTAAACCCATCACAGACCCAGGGACACAGAAGTGCTTCAGAAAGACTGGTGAGAAGAGACAATAGTGAAAACTGAGGGATATTGAACCAAAAGCCCATAACTCTAAAAAAACAGTGAATAAACTGGGGAAAACCATCAGAATCAACTTTATCAGAACTTTGGAAACTTATCAAAAGTTCATAGCAACTTGGAAATTGTTTATTCAAGGACAACAACCAGCTGACATTTTCACTGACTCTTGTCTCATCCTCTATCCTCTGCTTTGGCTGTGACCTTGAAGATGAGAGCCCACATTCCTAGTACCAGAGTGAGCAGGATGGACCTTATTCTCAAAGTTCTGTGGTTGTTTTGATCTTTCTGAAGGTTTGGCTCCAAGGGCTTGCCTTTATTTATCTAATCTCAAATTCTCCAAGGGCTGAGCTGGGTACTCAGTGGGGATGTACTGAATACATTTCAAGGAAAATATATTAGCCACCACTGCCTGAGGCCTATGAAATATTACAGGAAAACAAAAGACTGCCCAAGAAACTTGGGAAGAAAAGTATGGAATAAGATGTTTGGGGGAATTTTTAAAAGTTGCCCCCCCACCCCAAAAAGTTGCCCTCCCATTTCTTTGAATCTAGAAGGCTAGGATTGGGCACATGCTCAGAAAAGACCTGAAATAGCACTAAGTCCTCAGCTTTGGCTGACCTTTAAGTTCTGCACAAGCAGAAAGTGAAGATTAATGGCAGAGTTGTAAAGTGCCTGCTGATTTGAAGGTATGTTCCTATACACACACACGGAACACATCTGCAGAGACAACAGGTTTTTACTTTTTGTTCCAAGCCTTTAAAAAAATCTTTAACCATGAAGTTTATGTAATAGTCTTCTGGGACCACACATGACAAGTACGGACATTACAAAATTAGTTCAGGAGTATCACTAAACATACATACAACAAGCAACAACAACAAATTTTAGTGATGGGGAAAAACCTGATTCCAGAATTGCCATACAATAATGTTCCAAATGTCCATTTTGCAACAACAATATTTTGAGGCAGGAAAAGAAATAAATATGTGGCCCATTACAGGAAAAAAAAAAAAAATTCCTCTCTGAGGAAGCCCGGCTGTTAGACTTAGTAGTCAAGGAATTTAAATCAACTATTTTAAAGTATGCTCAAAGACGAAAAGAAAACTGTGTACAAAGAATAAAGGAAACCATAAGGATGAATTCTCATGAAATAGAACACATGTTAAAAAAACAGAAATTACAAAAAGAACCTACATAGAAATTTTGGAGTTGGAAAGTACAAAAACCGAAATGAAAAAAAGTCAGAAGAGCTGTCGAATGGCAGATATTGGCAGGAAGAAGAAAGAATCAATAAGCATGAAGACAGGACAATTTCTACTACCTCACTGGAAGAAGAGAAAGAAAAAAAAATGAAAAACAAACAAACAAACAAAAAAACACACACACAAAAAAACCATGAACAGAGCCCTAAAGACCTGTGGGATACCATCAAACACACCAAGAGACACATCATGGGAGTTCCTTAAGTGGAGAAGAGAATGAGGTAGAAAGAATATTTGAAGAAATAATGGCCAAAAACTTCCAAAAAAACTGATGAAAAACACAAATGGACACAACCAAGAAGTTTAAGAAACCTCAAGTAGGCTAAACTGAGATACAGAGATCACTAGCACATCTATCCTACAAGAAATGCTAATGGGAGGCTTTCAGGCTGAAATGAAAGGATAATGGATATTAACTCAAATCACACAAAGAAACAGAGAATCAGATAAATGAAAATACATAAACCAAGAATAATTATATTTTTGGTTTGAAATTCTCTTCTTTTTCTTACATGACTTACAAGAGAAATGCCTAAGCCCATAATTATGAATCTATGTTAATGGGCACAGAAGGCACAAACATGCAATTTGTGACAAAGCAATATAAAGGGAGTGTGTGTGTGCACACACCCACACAAGTGCAAAAATTTTGTATGCTGTTGACACAAAGTTGATACTAAACTGAAACAGACTGCTATAAGTTAAAATGTTAATTGCAGTTCTCCAAGACAACCATGAAAAAAAATAACTAAAACACAAAAAGAAATGACAGGGAATCCAAATGGTCCCCTAGAAAACATCTAACACAAAAATAATAATGAAAGAACTAAGGAACAAAAATGGTATAAGACATGTAGAAAATAACAAAATGGCGTACGTGGGTCTTTATCAGTAATTACCTTAAATGTAGATGGATTAATCTGTCCAAATAAAAGGCAGATTTTGGCAGAATAGATAAGAAATATCCAATTATATGCTATCCATGAAAGACTCAATTTACATCCAAACACACTAAGAGGCTGAAAGTCAACAGATGGAAAGATATATTCCATGCAGAGAGCAACCAAAAGATAATGTAGCTACATTAATTTCAGGGAAAACAGACGTTAAGATAAAAACTGTTACGAGACACAAAGATATTCTTTAATGACAAAAAGGTAATTCATCCAGAAAATGTAACAATTACAGACCAATAAAAACAAAATTCTACAATACTAGATTTCAAACTGACAGAATTGAAGGGAGAAAGAAATGGAGAGTTCTGTAATAGTCGCAGACTTGAACATCCTACTTTGAACAATGCGTAGAACAACTAGTTAGAAGGTTAATAAGGAAAAGGAGGACTTAAATAATCCTACAAACTCACCAGACCTAACAGACATATAAAATACTCCGCTCCACCACAGAACACACATTCATCCATACACATATGGGACGTTCTCCAGATCAGACAGACCCTATGTTAGGCCGTAAAATGAGTTTGAATAAATTTAAAAGCAGTGAAATCATAGAAAGTATTTTCTCTGAATATAATAGAATCAAAAAAAAAATTAGTGACCGAAAGATGTGTCTTGGAAAACTTGATATTGTTAAGGTGACAATACTAACCAAAGTGATATACTGATTCAGCGCAATCAGCACCAAAACTCCAACAGCTCTTACTTGCATAAATGGACAAACTTGACCCTAAAATTCATGTGGATTTGCCAAGGATCTCAAACAGAGGAGTCTTGAAAAGGAATAAAATAGGAATTCTCACAATTCCTGACATCCAAACTTAGGTCAATCGGGCTCCTTGCTTGTCAGGGAGCCTGCTTCTCCCTCTGCCTCTGCCTGCCATTCTGTCTGCCTGTGCTCACTCTCTCCCTCTCTCTCTCTCTGACAGATAAATAAATAAAATATTTAAAAAACAAACACAAACAAACAAAAACTTAGGTCAAAGCTGGAGTACTAGATGCCGCAGCACCAGCACAAGAAGTGACACAGCGATCAATGGAACAGGACTGAGTGAGTGTAAACCCATACATCTGTGGTCAATTTCTGACAAGGGAATAAAAAACAATTCAATGGGGAAAGAACAGTCTCCTACAGAAGTGGACATTGCTGCTATCAGCACTGGGGTGCAGGTGTCCCTCTGAAGCAGAAATTTTGTAACCTCTGGATAAATACTGTTGAGTCATAGGGTAGAGGAATCTCCATCCTGTTTTCCAGAGTGGGTATACCAGTTTGCCTTCCCACCAACAGAGCAAGATGGTTCCCCTTTCTCCACGTCCTCACAAACACCTGATTCTTGTGTTGTTGATTTTAGCCCTTCTGACAGGTGTGTGGTCGTACCTCACTGTGGTTTTGATGTGTGTTTCCCTGATGATAAGTGATGCTGAGCACTTTTTCATGGGTCTGTTGGCCATCTGGATGTCTTCTTTGGAAAAATATGATTTCACTCATATGTGGAATTTAAGAAACAAAACAAACAAGCAAAGGCGGGGGTGGGGTGGGTGGGAAAGACACATAAATCCAGAAACAGACTTTTAACTATAAAGAACTCTGGTGTGTCAAAGGACACTATCAAGAAAATCAAAATATACCACCACATGGGAGAAATTATTTTTAAGTCATATTTTGGATAAAGAATCAGTGTTCACGATATATGACCAATCTTTATAGTCCAAGAACAAAAGATAAACAACCGAATTTCAAATGGGCTTGAACAGACACTTCTCCACAGAAGATTTACAAACCGCCGACTACTTCGTGAAAAAGTGCTCAACGTCATTAGTGATGAGGGAAATGCAAATCAAAACAACCACGGAATCCCCCTTCGTAACCATGGGGATGGCTACACCCAGAAAAACAAATGTTGGGGGGGATGCGGGGAAAAGAGAGCCCTCACACCTCCGTGCAGCTGCCGTGGAAAATGGTGCGCAGCTCCCCAAAAGGCTAAACGTGGTAACACGTGACTCAGCCTTCTCCTCCCAGACACATCCCCAGCAAAAGCAGAAACACGTGGAAAGGACAGCCTGGACACAAATACTCACAGCAGCACTGTTTGCAATAGCTGGTCAGTGCGAAACCACCAAATGTTTATCAACCAATGAATGAATTTTAAAAATGTGCATGTGATTCAGTCACGACGAGGAATAACGAGCTGGTAGAGGCCACGCCATAGCTGGACCTTTAACGACTGTGCTGCCCGAAAGCAAGAAGCCAGACAAAAGAGATCAGATCTTGGGGAACGCCGATGATGTGAACCGTTCTCAACAGGCACGGCCACAGAAACAGGAGGCAAACTAGTGGCTGCTGGCGGGGGGCAGGGAGAAAGGCACCGGGTACTGAGCACTTCCGGGGGCGGGGCTGAGAGGGGATGACACTGTTCCCCATTTGGACAGTGTTCTAGCTGCAGGGCAACGCCAATGTAGCAAAAGCTGCTGCGCTGTACGCTTTAGAATAGTTACAATGGCGAATTTTATGGTATGGGAATGTTATGACAATTAAAAAAAAAAAAAGGACAAAAGGAAGTCTTGTCACCTCAGTCATTTAATAAATGCAGGGCTGAGGCGGGGCTTACCCAGGGAGGCCAGGTTCCTGCAGGTCTCCCGCATCACGTCTCTGTACAGTGTTCTCTGAGAGGGGTCCAGCAGCTCCCACTCCTCCTGCGTGAACTCCACGGCCACATCCTCGAAGGTCACCAAGTCCTGAGCCGTCATAAGAATCAAGGCTTAGCCAAGGACTACCCCCACCAAGCGATAAGGCGACAGGAACAGAAACCGGGAACCCCAAGCTTAAGATAGACGGGCAGGGTTCCGAGCTGTGCTCTCCACTGCTTCTGGGCTCAGCCTGCAGTGCTCCTCCCCTGTCTACTGACGCCCACTGCCAAGGTGAAATGTACTTCTAATTCCCTTATTCCAGGGAGACTGTGAAATCCTGCAGTCTTATCTCCCTCTGTCTCGGGGTTGAGCACAGGCCCGGGACATGGCAGATACCAGAGAAATACCTGGTAAATGAATGAGTGATTTCCTCACAGCCCCCATCAATCACTTGAGTCTAGGACACTTGAGTTTACCTTCCCCTTAAAATTCTCAGTGGAACATGACGTAGCCAGTGACCCTGGAGGAAGCTTTGCTGCGTAGAAAATGTTGACAAACACGGCCGCTGGCTGGGCAGCCCCTCACCCCCATCAGATGCCCGGAGACCCTGCGCCGTCCGAGGCCTGGTTTGGCTGTGGGGCTCCAGGTCACTGAGAGATAATCCGACTGCTGATCAAGGGAATAGTGATTTGGAAAAAGGGGTGTCTGACTCACCGGTAACCAGCTTGTCGGGAAGCCATGCACCGACCCTTCCTCCTCTGTGCATCCTTTTTGAGGAGAGGCTGAGAACAGGGAAGGCTGAGCTGGAGAAGAAGAAGTGAGTCCGAGGAGGTAGGGATGGCTCTGTATTCTAGCACTCACCAGTGTGGGGGCTTCATACACCTACCTGTAACTGACCATACCCCAACGCGCGCGCACACGCACACACACACGTGCATACACAGCTTTCACAGGAGGCCAGAGCAGAGCCCTGTCTCACCAAGGCCAAGACTCTTACTGCACTGGAGGGAAAGGTGATAGTTCTCCTTTCACAGTGGAGGAAACTGAAGTTCAAGGGCTAGCACTATTGTTTTATCAAGTTTACAGAAAGAATTTGAGGCATAATTCAAAAACTCTCCCATATTCACCACACAGGTGACATCACCACAGTCGCCCAAACCAGTAACACCCCAAATCCCAAGAACCACATGGGGTCCCTGTGACTCCCGCTCTGTGGTGCAGGGGCCTTTAATGCTTCGACTCTGGGGACCCCCCAACTTACCGCAGGTGGGGGAGAGAACCATGGCTGCCATCCTGGGACTCAGACAGAGAACCCGGACGCTCCTCCTCCCGTCCCCACTGCGTACGCAGGCCAGGTTCTGGAAGAAACGGGGAAACAGGAGCATTCACAGCCTCTCTCCCTCCCCAGGCTACTGAGGACGGACCTGTCGCAGCCTGCCCACCGTGTCCTCCTTCGAAGCGCACGTGGGGTCTCTAGTCCTGGGTCTTTACTTTGCTCAGAAGGTGATGAATGAACGCAGGGCATGTGAAGGCAAAACTTGTCCTCTTCTGTCCTAACCGGTACGACCAGCACGGGCCTGCGCCGCCCCCACTGGAATCCTCAGGCTCACCGAGTCTCAGGGCACGTTCTCCCCATCCAAGTGCTTGTCACACACACAGTCCCAGCTACGACCCTTTACCAGCTGGACACGCTGGCACCTGCCTCCCATCAGTCCTTCCCCCGCCAGTCCCACCACTGTCAGATGATGTCAGAGGGCGTGCGGATGACCCTCACCGTGTTGCGAGTTTGCCTCCATCCACGTTGGCCGCACCTTCCATCGGCACCACCCTAGACCCTGTCTTCACCAACCCTGTTCCACCATCTAGAACAGCAGCTCAGAAATGTCTCTCTGAACCCAGCCTCCCAGACGGCGCCCTCGTGCACTCCGTGTCTCTCTACCACACAAAGGACTCGGTCCAGCCGCTCTCCTGCTTCCTCAGGCAAGCCCTGTCCTCACGTCCCGCTTCCCCAGCTTGGATTTCACGAGCCCTCGCTTTCGCACGTCCTCATCTCTCCACCCCCCCTCACGCCTGCCCAGCAGCGCTCCCACCAGGCGTGATTCCAAACCTCTGCCTGCGCCGTGATGCCGCCACCTCTAGGGCAACACGGTCACGAGCATGCAGAGCCCTTGACCCTGCGCGGCACCCTGCAGGTCAGTGCAGCTCCCCACCCGCCCACCTGCTCCCATCTCTTTACACCCCACACGCCCTCCTCTCTTTCCCTCCAGAGGAACCAGCTTCCTAGATGGTCCTCAGTGACCCAAGCCTCCTGGTGTCCATACCCACCTGCATCAGGCTGATCCACGTGACAAGAGTACCCTGGAGGTGACTCGGAGAGGAACTGAGGCCTCCGTCCAACAGCAGGACCCGCGTGCCGGCCTGGAAGCCAACCGCCTTGGCAGTGAACCCTCAGCGCCCAGCAAGACTTTGGATCGCTGCAGCCCCAGCGGACATCCCGCCGGCAACTCATCAAAGTCCCTGAGCTAGAACCTTCTAGTTGAGCTGCTCTGAGTTCCCCAACCACAAAAACCATGAAAGATGACACATGATCATTACTGTCTTCAGTCAATGAGGTTTGGGACAATCTGTCGGGGACAACAGGTAACAAACACACCCTCGCTTGCAGCAGCTGGTCCTGCCTCCTACTTCTCAGAGTAACCTTCACGGGAGGAACTCTACCTGCTCGCGTAGGCCCCCCTCCGCAGCGGCCGCATGCACCACAGTTCCTGCCCTCCCTCCTGTTACAGACTTGGAGCTGACCCCGTTCTGTATCAGGCCAGCATCTGCTGCTCTGTTCTGGGCTCTGTCCTGCCTGATGTTTGAGGAGCTGCGCACAACGGACTGTCTCATGCCTGCCCTGCCCTTCCAGCTCGACCACGCTATGGATGCTTTCTTACACTATGGAAACCCGATGCAGTGTTTTTCAGTAGTGAAACAAATCTATCTTCCGTTTTCTCTCTTTTACTACCCAGCCCCTCGCTCTCTGATCACAGGCACAGGGTCTCGCTCTGACTCATTTCCTCCTCAGCCCAGGACCCTCTGGTTTTCTCCACGACCATTTCAAGGACACAACCCTTGGTGGAACCTCCTGTGATCTTATATCTTATTCATAATAACAGAGATGCACCAGGCAACTACACAGATAACCTTTTTTTTTTTTTTTTTTTTAAACCTGTCAGATCAACAGACCTAGTGGACCACATCTCCTCTTGGCAAGCCTGTCTGGAAAGGCACGCTCATACACTGCTGGGACCTAATTCCTAAGGAAGGAAAATTGCCAGCTGCAGGCAAAATGCAGCAACATTTACACCCTCCCTGCCAACCACAATCTAGGAACCTATCTCCAGGATACACAAATACTAAAGGACAAGGACACAAATACTAAAGGTCAAGGGTGTGATGATTCACCCCAGCCTTACTTAGAATATCAAAGGACCATCAATAGGGAATCAGCTCAATGAACTAGGGACTACCCACAGAATGAAGAAACTCTCCCAGCCAAAAAAGAAACAGATGATCTCTAGGTATTGATAGACATTCTTATCGCCAATAAATTTAAGTGAAAAAAAAATTAAATTAAAATTAAGTGAATTAAAAAATTTTTTTTTTAAATTTTTATTTATTTATTTGACAGAGATCACAAGTAGGCAGAGAGGCAGGCAGAGAGAGGACGAAGCAGGCTCCCCGCTGAGCAGAGAGCCCGACACGGGGCTTGATCAGAGGAACCTAAGATCACTACCTGAGCCGAAGGCAGAGGCTTAACCCACTGAGCCACCCAGGTGCCCCAGTGAATTTAAAAATTTTAAACTTAATTAAAATTAAATTAAAATTAAGTGAAAAAAAAAGTTTCAAAGCAGTGTCATCCCTATAAAAAGGGATGTTTCCTTTTTATAAAAAGGGAACGAATGCCTCCTTTCCCTGGAGTTCGGGAATCAAATGTAACTACATACAACCCAGCTTCTTGAGGTCTCTCTGTGTGTCCTCCCTGCACCCAACAGATCAACGCAATAAAGGCTGTTGAGTGTGAGCAGGGAGGGGAACCTGGGACACTAAGAGTTTGGGCCGGGTGGAGAGAGAGTTCAGGGCCTCTTTGCCTCCTGGGCCTCTGTGCCAAAGGTGTCCAGACTCCACTCCTCAGAATCTGTGAAAGTGTGAGCTTCCATAGACAAGGGATTGTGGAGCTGTGATTAAGGTAAGGCTCCCGAGATGCGGACAGTATCCAGAATTATCCGGGTGAGCCCAAGGTCATCACAAGAGGTCTTACAAGAGGGAGGTAAGATGGTAAGGTCAGAGAAGGAGCTGGGATGATGGAAGTAGGAGTCAGAGAAAGAGACTGGAAGCTGCTACCTACCTCCCCCTGCCCCGCCCTGAAGACAGAGGCAGGAGCCCTGAGCCAAGGCCCGCAGGCGGCCTCTGTGAGAGTGTGAGGGCCTACTTAGCCAGAGCGATTCCATCCAGTTAATCAGTGATTTTGTTGTTGATGCAGAAAAACTTAAACTGACCCTGCTCCCCTCCTCCCCCAGGGGACTGACTTAAAAAGCAAGTCCGGGAAACCAGTCCCAGGTAACAACCCCCAAATACAAGGGCGGGTCAGGCCAGGTGGAGACATCCAACCAGTGGGGGGCGCATACTGTCTCCCTAGCTACCAAGGAGTGTGGGCCCCGCCTTTTGGGTGCCAATTCTGACCAAGGTGATAGGCTCATTCAAATATCTACTATAGGGTAAATTGTGATTCAACTGGTCACTTGTGTGTGACCTAGCATGACTATGCAGCTTTCTCTGTGTGTTAAAATCCCATCGGTCACCTGTGTGTGGCCAGGCTCAACCACATGACCCTTGCCCTTTAAAAGTTAGTAAGGCCAGGAGGGGTCGCCCTCTCTTTAAGAGGCGGCTCCGACCAGTTGCTTTGATTCTCCATGCTTGGCGCGAAATAAAGCTTTGCTTGAATTTCGCTTTGTATCAGTCTTGACCCTTTGATTACGGACCCATCAAGATGGAAAAGACACAGAAAAGGAGTCTCCCCTAGAGCCTCTGGAAGGAATGCAGCCCTGCTGACCACTGAGGATTTCTGCCTTCCAGAACGGGAGAAGAAATCCGTGTTGCTGTCCAAGTCTCCGGTCATTTGTTAGGGCAGCCACAGACAACTGCTGTGGAGCCTCCTTCCCTTCCGCAGGGGCAGGATGTCTCCTTTCTCCCCAACAGGGACCCAATCTGCACTTTGGAAGAGCCCCGTCACTGAGCTGAGCCATGAGAGGGCCGGGATCCTTCCCGGAGCCCCCAAGGAAAAGCAGGCTAAGCAGGTTACCTGGGGCACTTTCAGGCTCCGAGGACCCCATCAGGGTCTTCTGGCAGGTGACATGTCACAGGAGGGCAGAGGGGGTCTGTGCTCAGTTTAGAGATTCAGTGACGCCTGCAGATGGATGCATGTCTGTGCCAGAAGAAGGTCGGAGAGGGTGGGCCACCTGGAGCCAGTGCTGCCCAGCAGAACTTTCTGGGATGCCAGAGATGTCCTCTAACTCTGCTCTGTCCAGCTGGTAGCCACAGCCACATGTGGATACTGAGCCCTTGAAATGTGGCCAGGACAAATGAAAAAAAAAAAAAAAATGAAATTTTGATCGTGTTTCTCATTGGTTTCATTGAAATAGCTACAGGTGACTCATGGTTCCTGCAGTAGACAGGGCAGCTGTGGACTACTCAGGCCTGACTTCTTCCAGGATGCGGAGGGGGGTGCCTATGAGTGGCAAAGCAGGATGAAAGCATGGGCCTGGGTGAGGGGGGAGGCCTGCAGGTTCGCATGGACAGGAGCTGGGGGCAGAGGAAGGACCCGGTACCATCTAACAAACACAAGCACGAATGAAAGCATCGTTGCATTTTCTCAGTTCTGAACTCCCGGGTCTCCTCTTCCCACTTCTTTCCTACTCCACAACCACCACTGGGGCTTAGGGAACCATCACCTTGTCCCTTAACTTCCTCTTACCATGCCCGGTCTTGCCTCTGAAGTCTTCCTTCTGAATCCTGAAGTCCATTTTAATCCACATGCACTGACCAAAGGTGAATCACATCCTCCCGGTGCTCACATCGCTACCATCTCTCTCTACTGGTCCCAGAGCAGAGTCCAATCTAAGACCTGACCCAGTCCAGCCTGCCCTGCTCTGTGCTCCCCACTTTGCTGTCTCGGCTCAGCCATTCTGGTCTTCCCAGCTCATGGAGGACACAAGGCTCTCTCCTGCTTTGGGGTTGTCTTTATGCCACTCCCTTCGCCTGAAATGCTCTCTTGAAAATACTCCCTTGCTCCAAAAACTCTACAGCTAGCTAAATGTGACCCCAACCTCAGCTCTGAAGGTAAATGTCAGCCCTTCTCAAGGCCTCCCTGTTCCCTCGACTGAGTTCTCTGTGCCAAGCTCCCACATCACTCCTGTCATGAGTTGTTTAAAATCACAATTCCTGGGGCGCCTGGGT